GTTTAAAAATCTGCTATGGTGTCCCACCTCCTTTAGCCTTTGACCTGGATGAATTGAAAATAAGTTCATTTTCACTCACCACTGGCCTTAGGGAAGGGCACTATTTCTAACTGGTATCTTGTGCATGAGTTAATGAGGTGCTTTTGGTATTAAATGTAAAGGGGAAAGGGACTCCCTTTATTGAAATAGTACTTTATAAGTACAAAGAAATTTCTAGATGCTGACTGAAAGTGCATTTTAATTTTTCTGAGATTGGTATCTCTAATGTGTGTGTTTGCTGGCTCTTTGAAAACGTATGTGTAGCTCAGCCAAAATATCTGAAAATCTGCCTCTGCTTACACTAATGTCCTGCTCTCTTTTCTGCAGGACAAGGTTTATAGTTCGGTCCTACAGCAGTGCTACAGTATGTACAAGGTAGAGTTAATACGAGAGGCTCTTCTGGGCAGAGGAAGGGATCTTCATGGTACCATTTGGATGTGCAAGCTTTGACATTCTTGTCTCATTATTATTGTCTGCTCTCTTCCTGAAGGTGTAGTGGTGTTGATGGAAGAGAAAAGTAAAGCTTTTGCAGTTGCCTGTGCTGGTTCATTAGCTTATTGTAAAAATAAGGGTCTTCTAATTTCTGTGGAGTCCATATTTCTTCTATCATGGGCAGTTACACTACTAAGCATTTGATTTTGATGGTGTTAGGTATTACCTGCTGGAGAAATGATACTCAGTAAAGGCCCTCAATCTGGTTTTTACAAAACAAGATCATAAGATACTTAAGCAATGCAGATAAATAATTTCTCTACCATTAAAGAATTTAGTTTCCTTTTCTAATTCTGCTTCTGCTGCCATATATACCTGGACTGCAAATCTCAGAGATGTTTTTTCAATAAAAAGGGGATACATTTGGATCTATGTGGAGTCCAAATACTGAGAAACAGGAGCTGTATTGTAATCTAGCTATAACTCAGCCATGAATATAAGAAATTATTGTAAATGATTACCCAACTGACTGATTTATTTTTTTTTCTTTTAACTATTAGCTGTTCAATGGCACATTCCTGAAAGCCATGGAAGATGGAGGTGTAAAAGTTCTAAAGGAGAGACTAGAGAAATTCTTCCATCGGGTAAGGCATTTTTCAATCATATACTGTGTGACTCTGCATTGGAAATAAAATGGAAAAAAACTTCTCCAAGAGGCTGACTGTGACTATAAAACATAGGCAGTGGAAAAGGTGTAGTGGCAACACAGAAAGTCTGGTTACTCATTTTTTCAAATACTTCCTGCTTCCTACTAATGTGGTAGGTTCTTTAAGTGGAGTTGAACAACAAGCAGGGTTATGGCTTGGTGAAACAGCTTAGCTGTTGGATATTTTTTCTGATGGAACCATGTTCACTCTGGAAATTCTGTTGTAATGTTTGAATTGGTTAGTGTGATAACCATCTCTGCAGACCTATTTGAGTAACTCTTGCAGAATCATTCCTGTTGGAAGGAATCTGGTGAGGTCATGCAGTTCAGCCTCCTATTCAAAGTAGGGTAATACTGAATTGAAACCAGGCCTTTGGCTGATTCAGCCTTGAAAATATCCAGGGACGGAGATTCCACAACCTGCATATACAGACTTGGAAGTCCCATAGTACTGTGAAGTAGTAATAGTTGTAATTTCTAACTTTTCGCCCCAACCCCCATGTGGCTTTAGTAGTCATGTCTGATAAGGTTTGAGGAAGTACTGCCTTGATTATAATTAGTCTTCAGAATTTAATTTCAGTCTTTAAAAGCAAATGTTTCAGTGAAAGGATGGAAAGCAAAACTTACTTCTGAGCAAGAAATCCATCAAATATTATTCAGGTACTTCTCACAAAGTAACTGACAGAGTGGTCATGTCTGGCAGAATTTTAGAGTTACTACATGAAAAGTTCTATCAAGCTAGCTTTAAAAGATGGCAACTAAATAAATGTCTCTTTGCCCCCATTTTTCTTGTTTGCACGGAAGGAAACAGAGGACTGCCGTCAGCAGTTAATTCTCTTGTGGTAGAGATTTTGAGTATTACTATCTCTGATAATGATGGAGTGCAGATACTGCATACTGGTGTTTAAAATTTTGTTCTCTTAACAGATTTTTAAAATAGCATGATGTTGTTACAGTGTAAACAAAAGTACAGTTCAGCCTGATTTTAGGACAGCCTTCACGTGAGCTTTGGGAGGTTTTTTGCTTGTTTTTTGTAAGGCTGTCATAGACTTTAGAATGAATACTGTTGGCACGAGGAGTACTTGTTTGATTAGCTGGTGTATACTTCTGTCTAGACTAAATTAAAAAATAGAGCATGGCAAAAAGGGAAGTAATAGATTTTTATCTTTAAAACACTGCTGTTCTTTGAAGTTCCTACTGAGATAAAACACTAACCGCTATAGATTTGTATAACAGAAATCCAAAGAAAAGTTGTTTCTCTTTTTTGCTGGGGAATTAAACTGCTTAAAAAATTTGGTCACGTAAGTTGTTCTGTTATAACCCTATTGAACAAATTGGCTATGTGTTGCTGGCAGGCTTGGACTGCACTGAAATGCTGAAAGGAAACGAGAGATTATAAACTGACACATCTGTCATACTATTTGTATTTAACTTCTTGGGGTTTTTGGTAATGTGGAATGACTGTAGAGGGAGCCATTGGATAACTTATATTTCATGGAGCGGACCATTTGGTAGTGCATTTGAAATCTCTTGGTAGATGTTACAGTATGAAGAAAGAGAGTAATAGAAATTATCTTTTCCTTTGCACACTGAAAGCTAATGGATTTATCTGCTAATATTTCTATGGAGTTACTTCTGAAATTAAATATTAGTAAGATAGGCTGTACTTGCTTACACTCTCAAAAGATCTTGAGCTAGCCTTAAAAGCTGTTGTCACTATGATTAAATAATTGCAAGCTGATACCTGGAATTACATTCACACGCTCACATAGAATCATGGAATAGTTTGGGTTGGAAGGGACCTTTAAAGGTCATGTAGTCCAACCGCCCTGCAGTGAGCAGGGACGTTTTCAACTAGATCAGGTTGCTCAAAGCCCCATCCAGCCTGACTTTGAATCTTTCCAGAGATGGGGCATCTACCACCTCTCTGGCTAACCTGTGCCAGTGTTCCACCACCCTCAATATCAAAAAATTCTTCCTTATATCTCATCTGAATCTATCTTCTTTTAGTTTAAAGCCATTACCCCTTGTCCTGTCACTACAGACCCTACTAAAAAGTCTATCCCCACATGGAGTCTGTCATACAAGCAGAACCGGAAGGGGTTTGGAGGTTTAGTGGGGTTTTTGATCGTTGGTTTAGATTACTAGGAATTAGACTCTAATTTGTCATTTAAATCTACACATTGGAAGTTTTCTGAATTCTAAAAAACAACTGTAATTATTCTCTTAGTATTTGCAGACGCTGCATTTACAGTCTTGCGATCTGCTGGATGTGTTTTGTGGAATCAGCTTCTTTCCACTCGACAAAATGACTTACTTGAAAATTCAGTCATTTATTAATAGGATGGAGGAAAGCCTGAACATAGTCAAGTATACTGCATTTCTCTACAATGACCAGCTTATCTGGTGGGTACTTCAATATTTTTTTGTGTGTCTTCAATTTCTCATCCTATAAATAAGTGCCATAATAGCAAAGCTTCTGTATCAGTGAAAGAGTTGCATGAAAGAGACAACTGAATGGTAGGATGAGTGATAGGTAAGAAGGGCATTGGTCTTTAGCTTTAAAATCTCTAACCTGTACCAAATGATCACTTCACAGTTGGCCTGAGGCGTAGCTAAAGTGTCCTTGTCATTTCCATTGCAAGAGCCTCTGTGTATGAACACAAATTTCTCTGCAGGACCTTTTAGTAGAGAAGGTTAAAGGATTGTTCTTTATATGGTTCTGAACCAGAATGCTGCAATGCTTGTGAAGAGTTCTGCTTAAGAATATCAAACTTGATCTTTGTTTAAATACTGTTTCTATTTATCTTCTGGTTTATGGCTAACATTGATGTGTTGTGTATTTAGCATATAAACCAACATTTTATTAGTAATTAATGGATTTAATCTACTGAGACACCGAAATGTTGCTATCCTGCTTTTGTATGTGCTTTACCCGAGTTCTGGTTAGAGAAAAACATGTGATATGAACTGCAGCACAAACACTGCTTACGTTTCCTTTTCTCCCTGTCTAGGAGTGGACTGGAACAAGATGACATGAGGATTTTGTACAAATATCTCACAACATCTCTGTTTCCAAGGCACATGGAGCCTGAGGTATGGTAGCTTGGGTATTGTTGGGGTTGGAGGTGGTTGTTGGTCGTTGGTTTTGTTTTTTTTTTCCTTCCTTGCTTTCTGTTTACCTGGTACCACTAAGGGCTCAAATACCAAAAAGGAGTATTTCTCTCGACCCCACCCTCCCCCTCCTTAAATTGTAGTTTAGGAATTCTGAGATGTATTGCTTTGGGGGCACTTTACTAAATTGGTAGTATTTGTACCTAAAGCTTACCATATGAATTATGCTGATAATTTGAACATAGGATGGTGATAGGGAGTTTACTGAATGTTGATACCTGATGACTACTCAGTACTGCAGATGAATCACTTCAGCTTAATGGCTAAATGCAGCACAGAGTGCCATGAGACCACATCGAGTTAGCTTACGGAGCTTTTTGATGGCAGGAGGGATAACTAAGTTTTAAAATTAATAAGTGCAAAATCAGAATGCCCCGTTATATCAGCATCTTATACTTTAGCTTTACTTCCTTTATGTTACACAGAGAGTATGTATCTTCATGAGTGACAATTTCTGTAAATGGTTTGCTTTGATTCAATTTAAAGACAGTCCACAAAATGTAACAGAAAATACCTCTAAGGTGTGTTTTTCTTGCGTTTGTTCTTTTTTGCTTCAGTTAGCAGGAAGAGATTCTCCAATACGTGCTGAAATGCCAGGAAATCTACAACACTATGGAAGGTAGCTCTTGTTTACTGTTACCATCTGCTGCTTCCTCAAGGGCAAAATGTTTGGGAGGAGTACATGTATTTTGAGTACGTATTCCACACACAGTTCATTCCAGAGGGTCACACAGTAGTTGGTGCAATGTAAAACCTGACCTCTGGAAAAAAAGAGAAAAGGCTTCAATTAACATTACTGCATATTTCTTTTTCTTTCCCACTCTTCTTAATATACTGCATAATAAAATTGGAACTGCTCTGATCATTTGTTTTCAGTCAGGCTCTTCAGACAAGGGTGTAGATTTAATCTAGGGATTTATCTATTTTACCTGTGTACTCAGCCTGTCAGAGTGGGGAATTCCATACTTAAGCAGCTGGGCAATGTTATTTTGACTAATTGTGGCTTTGGACACCTTTAATCAGGATAATTCCTCTTGCCTGATTTACTGTATTCTTTTGAGATCATGCATTAGCACACACTCCCTGTTCTGCCCTACCCTCCCCCCAAGTTTAGGTGCTTCCGTACACCACTGTTCTGCATAAAACTAATTTGAACGTGCTGTTGGAGGGCAAAGGAAAACTGCTTTCCCAGTAGCAGCAAAAAAAAGGGTTTTTAAAGATAATCACAACTTGAATGTGGAAAAAGTTCTGTCGTTGTTCCTTTGATCTGCGCGGTTTAGGTCTGTAGCGTTATTCTGGCTTTCTGATCCTGTTTCTTGTAACTCTCTGAAGCATATATGCAAATATTGCAAAAACATAAGAGTGCTGAGATAGTCTATAAAGAGCCCTACAACTATCTGGATAGTTGAAAACTCATTGTATTCAAATATATTCATACATGCAAGTAATCCGTTAAATAGGAAAAAACAAAATACAAGAATTCATCACATCTGACCTACTGAATTATTTTCTAGGTTTCTTACTGGACCTTTAAATCTTAATGATCCAGAAGCAAAATGCCGTTTCCCCAAAATATTTGTTAACACTGATGACACTTATGAAGAGCTTCATTTAATTGTTTATAAGGTATTACATTTTTTCTTCTATTATTCTAATTAATTAGGAATCTATATACAATGATGTGAAGTACTTATGAATTATATAGGAAGATGTATTGATATGCCCAGGTTAAAGCAAAGAGACAGAAAACTCTTTGGTGTTTCTAGCAAGAAGCTTTAAAGCCTGAATTCTCTTTTCCCCTCTCCTGTACCCTCCTCAAAACAAACAGTTGTTTTATTAAAACAAAATACCAGCCTTCAGTTACTTTAAGTAGTTTATGCAGCTTTATGTAGCATTAATAAACCCCTAGTTTTTTAAATGAGATGCAAGTTTATTGCAGAAATATATCCTTGTGTAAAATGCTTTTTTAGAAAATTTTACCTTTCCCCTACAACTTAAACTGTTAACTGGGCTGATTTTTAAAATCATAACTATCCTGTGTTGTTCAGGATTGCAAAGAGATTATCCTATCAAAGCGTTACTTAAATTTTTTTTAAACTGGTTTACCTGTGTGTGACCTCACTTGAAGTATTGTCATTTATTTGAGGTAGTTGAGGTAACCTGTTGTAAATGTTTTTTTTGCTTTAACTTTTTTGTTCCAGGCCATGAGTGCAGCTGTCTGCTTTATGATTGATGGTAAGTCCCTATTAGCATCACTTATTTGCCAAGACATAGTTAGTACAAAATGCTATTACATGCAACTTGTTTTACTCTTTAAAAATACGTTAATTTGTTACTGGAGTCACTTCTTCATGAGTGCTTTTATTGGTCTTTTGATATTTGTTCCAGTGGTCTAAGTAACTCAGTTTACACACAAAAATGACAAAATATTGCTTCAGTTAGCCTTGCACTTTCAAAATGATCTCTAAGGTTATAATTAAGAGAGAAATTTGTCCCAGGACTCTCACTGTTTAAAGAAAACAACTACAGAAACTGCACCTTCAACTGGAAAGAGAATCTCATCTCTCCCTTTTCTTTGCCCATCACCTAGCTTCAATTCCACCTACGCTGGAGTTTTGCCGTAAACTGGACAGCATTGTTGGGCCTCAACTCACTGTGTTAGCATCAGACATATGTGAACAGTACAACATCAACAAAAGAATATCAGGGTTTGTACCATATTTCTGTTCCTGTTGCAGTCCCTCATTAGTTGGTTAAAAACTAGGTTTAATGAACTCCTTGAATAATGGTAACATAAGCCCAGATGTTGAAAGCGTTGTTAACTGCGTACTTTAAATGATGTTTATCTACCTTTCTGCATCTTAAGCATTTATAAAATGCGTGTTGTTGCATATTTAGGCTTCCTTCAAGTAACAACATACATGTTATTAATTTAGTAATGAGTGTTTATTGTGTGGCTGAAACCTTTTTCTTTTACATGCATAACTGTTGCAGAAAAAAATCATGTAAATGTTAAGATAAATCTCACCATTATCAATTGAGATTTCTGCCTCCATCCCCTAGCTGTTAGCAGATTATTCAGATACAGAGGTGGAACTTCTAAATTTTGCTGCTTTGATATGTGAACTGAAACTAGGTGCAGAGGTTATGAGTTCTGCAGATTAGTGTGCTTGAAGCAATATATACAGGATGGTAAAAATGCCACCTGAAGTGGTAGTCTTCTGTCACTGTCCCCCATGTTGAAGTACAGAAGTAGCAGTTCCTGCAAAATCTTAACTTCAGTCTATACTTTCTAACTTTTCTTGAGGAAACCAGAATTTCATAATGTTCACAAATAGCCCTTGGGCTAGTAAAACATTTCAGTTTATAAAAAAAAACCCTCAAAACAACTGTCTTTGTGCCCATGACCTTATTTGTGCTGATTTCCTTTGACTTCTGCTTTCCTAGGCTGCTGTTTTGTATAATTTTAAAAGAACTGTATTTTTCATATCAAGTGGACACTGACACCACTACCTGAGTATTGCCTTAAACATAAGTACTCACTGCTTGGATGGGAGTGTATGTAACTCTTAACTCTGTTACAAATCCAAAAGGAAAATGAAGGTCTAGATTCTAGAACAACTTTTGTTTAACAGTTTGAAATGGGAATTTTAGTGAATGGATTATTTGATTACAGTGCAAGCTTTACAGTTTATACTTTTTGCTAGAATTGCTGCTTCTTGAACTGTTGCTGTGTATGGTAGGTGAGGAAAAACTGTCTTTATTTTTTCTATACTGCAGGACTAAGGTAACTACTTAAGGGGCAAAACAAGTGTCAAATGAAAAAGGATGTTAATGTTTTGGAAAATACCCTTCACTTAGAACTGCAGCTGACTTTCCATAAAACTATATTTATTTGTAGATAGATCTGTTAGTTGGGGAACCAAGAACAGCATCACCTATGACAGCAAAAGAGGAATTAAAGCAAAGATGGGTGTATGACTGAACTCATTTAGTGGTAGCATGCCAAATCAGCAAAACCGCAGGGTATAGAATAGGATGTGCTTGAAACTGTGCCAATCTACTAAATCATTAAACCTGGGGTTTTTTAATGTCATCTGGGACTGTCTCTGGCAACTTTAACTCTTTTAAAAGTTTAATGCCACAGTGTCCTGAAAACATGATACAGTTTCTTGACACTAATGCATCTGGGTGACAGAGAGCAAGGGTATCTAGTTGTTTGCTAAGGTGAGTGGTGTCATCACAGTATCTCCCAGATTCTAAATAATACATACCCTGAAGTACCAATTGCTGTAGCCAGTTTTTGCCAGTCTGAATTTGTTGTGACTTCTACCAAAAACAGAGTTCTAAGTGACAGATTTTATATAACAATAAAAGAAGAAATGGAGGAAGACTGCCAAGGCAGGAGTTTGAAAATAGTCTCTTGCTTGGCCCACGCAAACGATGGGGGGAAATCACCTGGATCAAGGAAGAGTTCTTTCTTTTTGATTGTAACAAATAAGAAGTGAAAGATTACTTATTGATCAGATTAAAGACCTAGCATCAATTCAAACTAGGGGCATAGGGGAGAGCAGCAAGGAAACAAAATGGGGACAGAAACAACAGCTCATTAGAAAAATGCAAACAAAACTACTACTGGCAAGTGAGACAAGGCCTTTAGACTCCCCTATTTACTAGTAGTCTACTGCCTATTTACTAATAATCTAAGCAGCAGAAGAGGAAAAACTGGTTGGTTTTGCAGGCTTACTGTTGTTTTTATAAATGTGTTAAAATGAAGTTTGATTATGCCACAAGTCTTAAAGTACTTAGATCTCTTCAGTGTGAAGATAAAACTTCAGGATGTCTGAGGAAGCTTTGCACAGGCTAGTTACATGTTCTCTGTGAAGCCTGTGCTTATAGAACATGTTGGTATTCACAAGTCACTTTTTTTTTTTTAAAAAAAAAAAATCTTCCTAGGGCTGAAAAGGAGCCTCAGTTTAAGTTTATCTATTTCAATCACATGAACCTGGCAGAGAAAAGTACCATTCACATGAGGAAAACACCCAGTGTATCACTTGCATCTGTTCACCCTGACCTCATGAAGATTCTCGGTGACATCAACAGTGACTTCTCCAGGTAATGCTTAACTATTAAATAGTCTGTAGCTCCTTCTCTGTCAAGTAGATTTTTTTTTTTCAAATGAGTGAGGCTTTCGTGTCTTTTTGTTCATTGGTGGCTATTCATAGCTCTGTGAGATAAATGGGAGTAACATGGGTCATATGTGGTATTTTGTGTTGGTTTCTAAGTAGTTCATTTTAAACAAAACTTCCATTGTAATTTTAAAAATATAATTTAAAGAGGGGCCAGGGCCTCTACATGTAGTCTATCTGAAGCTTCAGAGTAACCATAACAAACTTAAAAGGAACGTGAAATGCTTTTGCACTTACGCCTGTCTAGTCTCTGGATAAGTAGTATAAAGGACAGGGAAACCTGCTTCTGCCTATATTATACCGTCCTCTGAAAGAGCTCGCTGCTTTTAGGGATTAGACAATAGATGAAATGCAAACCTTGCAGTTACTACTGTTAAAGAAGATAACTGGCTTCTTGTCAATGGATGCTTCAAGGTGGGAGAGACTCTGTCACTGTAAAAATTAATGAACATGAAAATGCTGAATGATTGTGATGTCTATAATTAGTGACTAGCAATTTTCCCACTCTGTTTAAGGACAAGGTTTTCATTTTTCTATAAATGAAAAAAGAATGTTTCATCATATTGTGGAAGTACTTGGGCTAGTGACAGCTTTATGTAATATATCTAGTTGTTAAGCATGGTTTAGTTCTAGGTTTAACAATTAGATACATGAAAGCTTAGTATTACCATAGCATCTCCAGCTTTCATTATTTGGTCACTGTGTAGCATATAATTCTATGAAGGTTTGCTTAACAGCATAGAGGATAAGGGTTTTCTTCAGAGCACTGGAGTATTTGGCTGATGGGCAAATTTAACAGTTTACTCATCTGGGGATGTAATTGTCCTAAACAGCCGTTTATGAAGCCTTCATCCTGAATTGCCAAGCTATGTCTAAGTTAGTGTTGGTAGTCTCTCTTCAATGCTGCACAACCACAACAATTCATGACATTAATCATTAGGACAGCTTACAAATAAAGTTATTGAAGATGAACTTGCTGCCACCTTCTTTACTTTCTAAAACTTCTTTCAGAGTTGATGAAGATGAGGAAATTATTGTGAAGGCAATGAGTGATTACTGGGTAGTGGGGAAAAAGTCTGACCAGCGAGAACTGTATGTTATTTTGAATCAAAAAAATGCAAATCTGATTGAAGTTAATGGTAAGGATTGTTTCTTATTACCTTTAAATACAGTTACTACTAAAATGTATGTCCCTGAAGAAGTAATAAAATCCATCTCACAAGAAATCTAGAGAGGGATTTATCTATGATAGACCAGGTAAGTTTGCATAAGGTTTTAGTCTGCCTTCTACCAGCTGTGAGAGAACAGCATAAATATTCAGCAGACATTCTTAATTATTAATGAGTCATTCTTCCTCTTTCAAATAATAGGAGACCTCTATGAGCTTAGTTTAGGAGTAATGAAGTGTATTACAGATGAGAGATGAACATATTTACATATGAGTTAGGTTTTATTTGTCAATGATCCATGGGTAGGTTACTTAGACACAATGTCTATCCTGTCAGTGATCCTCATCCCATTCTTGTCTTGTTTCTAATGCTGTTTTGAAAATTACTTACTCGAAGAGTGCAAATTAACATTAAGATGCAAATAGGCTTTTAAATAAACTAAGAGAAAAGGCAGTTTGAGTCTTAGTTGCAGCAATTTTAGGGCTCTCTGTTTTAATAGGAGGTAATGTGCTCACTTGGATGATGGGAAAGAATTACTAATTCTCCAAGACCAAAGCTTAGCAGCATAAATTTTGAAAAGAATGACTTCTAATTGTCTTTCAGGATCAAAGCTGCCATACAGAAACAGTAAATCAGTGTTTCTATGTCTGATAAGCTTAGGAAGTGGTGTCTGCCAGACAGCACAAAGCAAATGTTTTGCTGTCTTTATTTATTGTAACAGGCTACCCTAATCCCTCCTTCCCCTGAAAAGAGGGTTACAATATACTTCCTTGTGGTGAAGTGCTGTTGCAGTGTAAAAGTTTGACAAGACAAATGGCCCAGCAGCAAGTTCTCAAACCATCATTTACACTTAAGCTACTCCAAATACAACTCATCTTTCAGACACTGAAACATGTCTGACTTGATTCAACTTTCTCATACTGTAAACAGAGTAACATTGTGTATTTCTACATTAGAAATTCCTAGGGTTTTTTTCTATTAGAATATTATTAAATTCACCTTGATGATCCCCAGGGTTTTTCTTGCAGAGGTTCCAGTAAATATCATACTGAATTTTAATTTTTTTTTTTTTTAACAGAAGAAGTGAAGAAGCTTTGTGCAACACAGTTTAATAATATTTTCTTCCTGGATTGATCTGCAAAGGGCTGATTTATTGAAGATGTCAATGTCAGACACTTGTTCAACATGAAAAGTTATTAGTCATATTATTGACTGGAATAATGACAATAGTAAAGCAATACTTGCTTTGTAAGAATCAAAATTTCTACTAAAATCTGTAAACTCTGATCATAAAATTTTTAGATTTTAAAAATGTTTATGTGCAAACTAATTAAACAAGGCTGAATTCATCTGTACCATTCCATTCTGATATTGTTATGTGAATATTTTCCAGTAAAATAAAACTAGTAATTGTTACACTTTTAAGGGCATCTTTTTGTTTTCCTGTGTTAATTTGCATCATTGTGTGACTTTCTGCTAGTTTTCTAACACTGTAAAACTAGACTGGTTACAAAAGACCCCTGATTCTTTGCAGCTCCTGCTTCAGCCTAATTTACATACTTGTTTATATGCAGTATTTCAGTAAAATGAACCATGTTTTAAGTAGAAACCATTTCATTGGAACATAGGATCACAACAAGATAGAACTGATATCAACACTGAGGGAAGTTTTAGGTACAAATCAAATACTGACTTCTATAATAGTTTTGTTTAAAGGGTTACACTCGTGTAAATGACTGTTCTCCTTCCCAAGCCCCTTAGTGTAAAAGCACACAGTTCCCTTCTGAAATAAGCAAGTCTTGTGCATACAATTTTGTCATACTTGTATTTTAGACCTTATTCTGTGTGGTTGGTTGTTTTGTTGTTTTTTTCTTATTCAAAGCATACTTACTTGAAGCTTTAGCAGTGCTCATCTGAAAATTTATTTCTTCTTTCTCTTTTTGCCAGCAGGCACCTTAGTGCCCCCTTGGAAGGAAGAGGGGCCCCTCGTAGCACTCCTCGTTGTTACTAATTGTGTGACAGGCTCCTCTAACTCCTTAAAATCTGCATTCTTGGAATCGAATGCTTTTTCTGTTGCAGCTGCTTCTTGGCTTTTTGCCTCTTCTGCTTCTCTTCCAGCAATAAGTCTGAGTGAACAAAGTTTAAATTTAATGTACTGTAAGAGGGGGGAGACAGATTTATACTGGCTAAGCAACTACAGCTATGTTCACAGGATGAGCAGTATAAACTGTCATATTGTAGAGAAGCAGAAAATCTGTCCAGTTACCACTTCAAGTCTGACTAACTTATGCTATATTAAAAAAAAAAAAAAAAAGTCTTAACTGCCTTTATCCAAAGTAGGGCTCAAATGCCAGGAAGTAGCAGACAGTTAAGAGTTCTGTAACCTGAAAGCAGCCTGTATTTGTTACTCCTGACACTAATAGAAGTCACATGATATTCTGTTGCTTATTATACCTGGATGTTTTCCTAGTTACAATATGCTACACTACTTTTAATAAAACACCCTTCCTTTTCAAAATAATTTTGTTAGTTGAAGATAAGAGATAACAGTGCTTCAAGATAAAACAACTCACTCTGCCAGCTCTTCATCCTTGATCTTTCTCAGCTCAGCTAATTCAGCATCTCGTATTCGATTTTCTTTTATTTTTTCCCTCAGCACTTTTTCATGCTGGTAGGCAGGCAAGAGCTTAGTTGTAAAAAAGATCTGCACCTGACACATCCACAGACTAAATTCCTCATCTTGTTCAGTTGTGCCTTCATTTGGTTCATCTGCAACATGTAAATTAAATGTTTATTTGGCAGGGCACTTCTATTTCAAATGTGGTTTGGACTACAATATTTCAGATCTGATACCCTGCAATGGGAAAGTGGCTTCTGCATGGCACCCAAGATGACAACTGTGAGAAACTTTTAACTGATGGATGTGAAAGGGGATGACCCTTTTGTGGGTCTTCAGAGTGACCTGTCCCTGGGAATGGCATCAAAAGAACCTTTCCCCTTTAATCCTCTAATAAATATATTCTGCAGTTCAGTATCCATTACTCCTGTGCATGGGGAAATGAAGGAACAAACATGACTACCTGAAAGAACAGCATTGCATGCAAACATCCAATTGTCAGGACTGTCAAAAAACAGGCTAGGGCCCATGCTGTTTCTTTCAGAAGCAATGTTTTTTCAGATCTGTAAGTTTTCAGTCATTGGATTTCAGTGGAAGAGCTGGTGACTACACAGAGATCCTTGTCTACCTATGTTCTTGGATTTGGGTTCTTTATCTATGGAAAACATTTAACAAGTACAAAAACCAACCCAGATGAGATCTGCTAATCAACCAGAAGGGAGATGGTATAAAAATGAAAATGCTCTGATTTCTCTTCTGCATGACTGCTGGCCCGTCATATGACATCCCAACTGCTGGTGGCACACCATTAATAATAATAAGTAAAAGAAGCCAGACATAGCAGTAATATGTTTTATTTGTCCAACACATTAAAAAAAAATAAATTAAAAATGGACAGGCTTGCCGACTGAGCTTCTCAGAGGAAATAGAAAATTACAGCTTAGAGATGCCCTACAAATAAAATGTAGCATTTTAAAATTGGGGAAACTATCTAAGTCAGTACTTAAAAGTCTCATTTACTGTTTCATTTTCTTAAAGAAAATTTCTAAAAATTTTAAAAAAAAAATCTTCCTCCAGAATTAATGTTCATTTACTGCCCTCTTGTGACAAATCTGCATATACAACAAGATTTCACAATTCAAGAGCTATGAGGGATTTTTTTTGTGTTAAGTCTTAAAACAGTAGGACTGCTTTACCTGTCAATTCCTTTGCTGGCGAGAAATCTTGTTCTTTTGCTGCATCCCACCTGAACAATGACGGAACATCTTTGATACCTCCATGAGTTGTGTGAAAGGAGAGAGAAGTATCTGATACCGCAAAGAAAGAAAATTAAAATTACTCAGTCTGTAATTCTGTGCCTTAAATATCAGGTTTGATCTTCAGCACAAACAAATATAAATTGTCATCTGACCTTACAGCTAGACCTGTGATTCAAACACTGCTGTACTGATGAAAAATTTGTTTAGAATGAAAGCACAGTACAGAGTTTGATCTCCTATCTCCATGCCCAAAATGAGTGGGACAGAACAGGAAAAATTTATTTAGTTTTAAAAAGCCTTTAAGCTATTTTTAAGGAAAATGTGATAGCTTCTAATTTAAAAAAAAAAAATAATCACAAAAAAGTTCAGAGATTCAAACTTGCCCAGCTATCTGTGTATAGCAGGTATGGAAAGCTGAATGTAAACCTCTCTAACTGCAATTCACTGGCTATTCCAATGACCAGTTACTGTTTTAATCATCTTTAAAGTTGTAGAAAGAGTGAATCTCCTCTAGCACCACTGCTTATAGATGCTTATACTAACTACAGTACTCACCCAGTAGAAATCCTTGAAGAGGCTGCCCTCTGTCTTCAGAAGGTCTCAGTGACTGGCAAGAATTTTTAAATTCAGTTACTAATGCCTGGACTTGTGTTCAAATTAAAAAAGTGAAATCACATGTCCATGTGAGTCATGCAAATCCCTAGCTCCAAAACATTCTGCCAATCTAATGCATTCTGCAATTATGCCTATTTCAAAACATTTAAATTGCAATAGTGTTTCATACTTTCAAGTATTTGCAAATTGGTCATAACACTTCACCCTCCATATCAGCCAGGGAAGTAGGATTTATCCTATTTCATTATGGAAAGATAGAAGTATGCAGAATGAAAGCTCCTGTTCTTAGACATGTCCCTCTGTTCTTACGTGTTGCTCTACATAGTATTTATCTGCTCCTGAGGAAACAATAATGAATTTCTACTCCTGACTATAGGAATATACCCCAAGTGAAATACACTGAGTGAAAAGGAGAGAACAATGTTCAAGAGTGTATCTGTAAAGGATGGTTTGAAATCTTTCAAACTGACAACCCGAGCATCTTCTGCATGATGATGATTCAGCTCTTTCCAGCCAAGTGACAGTAAAAGTCTCAGGTCAAACAATTCTGGTTGTGGAATATCAAGAGTCTCATTATAGTCATACACTGGGTACAAAACTAAAGGCACTGATGGTGAAGTCTGCTAGGAGAATTCTGAAAAATGTTTTAGTAATTATATTAGTTACCTTCCCTAGTGCTTCTAAATCTCTGCCCACTTCTCAGCCTCTCACTCCCCACCTTGTGCATAAAATAAAACTGTAGCTGTATTCACCACTGTTTTAGTTAACATAGAAGACACTACCAAATAGTCTAAATAATAACAGCTGAGTATGTGTGGGAGCAAATGCTTTTATTAGCAATGGAAATGTACCACTTCTAGGCTTATACATGCATCCAGGCATGGGAACGCACTGTATTTAATATTAGATGAAATTCTAGTCCCTTTCCAAACTTAAAGCTACTTTGGCTACTCTGTCACCCATGAATTGCAAACTCTCTGCTCCATCTTTCAGTGGTTGGGTTTTTTTGTTTGTTTTTGTTTTTACATACCTCATGTTTCTTTACTTCATCTTGTGATATGACACTTTTGCTTGAAGACAACCATGAGCAAGTGTAAAGCTCAGTTGACTCAGAAATGTCATCATTTAAGTCTGTACCGATTGTACTTCTGCTGTACTAATAAAAAGTAAACACAGGAAGAATTTTATGTTCAGTATATTTTAAATTAAGATTTTTCTTTGGTCTTGGAAAATCTGACTATTTTAACTAGGCCATTTCACTGTGCAACAGCATTAAAACTTGCAGCAATGCAAGGGAATGGGTTCCATAGGATGGGAACAACTGGCCAGAGAACGGGAAGTGGTGGTGTTCAGTGGCACTACTGGCTTACAGACACTGTGATGAAATTAGGTGTTTGGGAATGCTCTTTGAATTAATAAAAATACTTTAATCTTGTACGTAATTCCAAACAATAACAATTCTAATTCATGCCTTCAACTACCCTGTGCATCTAAATTGTACCAGTGTCACAGGCAGCATCTTACAATCAACAAAATGCTTATTCAAAAGTTTAGCAAAACAAAAAGAGCGTAGCTTAATTGCCGGGAAGCAGCAAGTCTTGCTATGTACAACAGCAATGCCATTTTTACAGAGCAGTTTTAGACATGTGTCTTAAAGCAGGAGCAGCATATCTTCCACCAGTCAACCAATTCCTCAATTCCCCTTCGAATACCAGAATATACTTGCCTGTATTTTATGTGTCTTTATAGTTACCTAGGAAAATGTGCAAATATGTCTATACTGATGTCACAATCTAAGGTAGCAACAGACAGGAAAAGCAGGAGAACCCAATCAAATGACTGTTTATGCAATAAAAGTAAATTGTTTTCTACGTTCAGGAAACAGAGAACATTTGCAGGGCCTGACTTTGCCCTCTAAGTGGTCGTATAATATTTAGCAAGTCTCCATCAGCTTTACCTGGGTCACAGAATGTTCCGGATACAGAGAAACAGTTGTGGTTCCCTCGGAAAGACCTTCAATTCTAAAGCTACTTCTTTTCCGATTATCACAAGCTACTTGTTCCTTAATCATATCACTGGTAACATACACCAATGCACAATCAAGAAGAGCTTCAACAAATTCAAGAAAAACCAACTAGAGTAAAACAAACATGGTGATTAATTAATTAACTTTTGCAAATTCCCTTCATTAATGGGCATATGTACCTGAGCAAAGAACTCAAAAGTGATTGTAAAGCCTTGCTGGCCTCATTTATCTAGTCAAATATCCCTTCTTCTGAAGAAAAAGTGAAAACAGCCAAAGCTCAAAAAATTCAGGAGGTAATATATTGTGTTACACCCTATAGAAGTAATACTGAAAGAAGACACTGCATAGATTTTTGCTGTATCTGGAGCTACAAGAAATTTCTCTAACAAATAACACACAACTATTGCTCTTCCTAAAACATTTCATTGCATACGATGTTTCCAGAAACCCCAGGAATGGGTATATAATGAATCCCTTAGTAAGACTTACACTGGGTGTTCAGTTTATCAGATACTGTTTGAAACAGTAAATCAATTACTTAATTTACAATAGACCATCACGGAGCAAGTGTGAAGGCCGTTCTTTAAGGGTGAAGGCCCTCTATAGCAGGCCAGCTGTCAAGTAGCACAAGAGTCGTCTACAGTCACTACTCAACCTCATTGAGGTGGCAGCACTTCACTAATCAGGTTTCTTGGGTCACCAGATTTTCAGGATCAATGAGTTCACATCTTAACATTTCCAATGCATGCCTCAACAGCTGGAAGTGCCAAGATTCATCTCTGTGTAATCAGTGCACATACATATTGTCAGGCAACTGCCCCACAGACAGAACTAGTACTAACAGCAATCTCCTAGAAAATGGTATTTCACCCTCTGGGTTACAGCACTCTTAAGGAGTTCTGTATGGTCAGGTATGCTGAGACTATATTAAAAAGGGAAAGATAATAAGCAAAAGATAGCAGCATGTGACCTAAATTAGAAGATACAAGCAGAACAAAAGGAACACAAATATAGAGGCTCGAATTTGTACTCTTTACTTTTTTGGAATAAATTAATTTTCCTCCTGTTCTAGAGATAGGACAGTATTTGCAGCATTTTTAAAAAGTAATTTTAACTGTTCCTGTAGCAATGAACTATGATTGATTTTATTTTTTTTTTTCCTTTTTCTTACACACCTCCGGCTCCAGGTTGATACTACTGCTATCTTGTAGGGACGGACCATCTTTGACAAGTATTTCCACAAGTCTGGAAGCAGTTAATTGTTTGCTGAGAAGTTTAAAATCCTGGGTAAGAGTTAATGTTACATATTAAAAACACTTAAGGCATCCCCACATGGATCTAATCTAACTCCCTTTAAAGTCTGTGTCAAAATTTCTAGTGGTTTCAAATGGTACTTCCAAATATGTAATTAATGGCAGAGTGAAATTCTGGCCCTACTGATGTCAATGGGAATTTTTCCTAGACTGCAAAATACAATGCTAAGAAAGAACTTGTGAAAGCTCATAACTAAAAATATAAAAAAATTACAATTTTGACTTGTGATATTTTAATTCATTTTTTTCATGAAAAAAAGGTTTGAATTTAAACAGTGACAGTGACACAAAACCCAGGCATATCAATGAGAATTGTTCCTTAGCTTCAGTGTAATCTTGATCTGTGCTTGAATGACTCAATTTTAGTAAAGAATCTCATGTTCATCTTGCAATATATTAAATTAATACTTTATTAAAGTGGTTTACCATGTTATTTCAAAAGCTGCCAGTCTTTTGAGTTCTACCAGTAAAACATTTTCATATATACATTTTACAGGGTAGGGCCTGCAAAGCCAGCAAAAATATTTATATTCCCTTAAAACATATTTGTCTAAGATTTAAATATCTGAAATTATCAAATATGAAATCAGAATTCAATCATACAAAAGTACATAAATAATTTCTGTAGAACAACTCTCCCTTTAATGTTCATTGGACAGTTTCTACAAATAACATCGCTGCTACCTTTTCAACTGTGCAGAAGCCACAGGGAGTTATTTTAATGCTCATATAAACTGAACAAATAAAGCACATCTAATCACACAAAATTTTAAAAAATAAAATTATTACGTTCAACATCCAAAGGAAGTGCCTCATTGTCATTGTGGGTTCAAATGGAGGTCTGCTGCTCGGTCTACAAAAAGCTCTGTATATTTCCCAGCATTTGCCAATATAGCTCATGGCAAAAACTGTACATCGTTCTTCAGAAAATAAGATACCTTTAAAAATTGATTGGAAAAAAACACACACCATTACAATAAAACTGTGATGTATGTGGTACTAATTAATGAGTTCTGCACAGCACAGAAGAAATACCATTACTCACCTTGGATATGGCAGGCAGCGGGAATAACATTCCTGGACATCATTTCTGAGAAACACTTATGCAGATAAGGACCTTTCTCTCTACAGTTGAAAAAAAAACAAACAACAACCCTCTTGTCTGGAAAGACTCAAACTGATTACACTGAAATAAATTTCATTAAAAGATGAAACTTACTTTTGCTCTTCATGGTAGATATGAAATGCTAGATGAATAAGGTAAGATAAAAATGTTCTGAACAGTAAAGTCTCATGTGGACAATGTATCTCCTCAAGTTGTGTTTTATCACCTAAAAAAATTGAAAAAAATAAATCTTGATTGCTATAATGTACATTAAAATGTTTACAGGCCTACTGACTTGTCAGCCTTTCTTACCCTCTCCATCTCTACCTATCACATTGCAACAACACTCCCAGAAGAATCAGACCAGACACAGCACCCCTTTCAAACAAGTACATCAAGGGAGAACCATCCACCTACAGCTGAATCTTATCAAAATCCTTCTTCCTAGAAATGCATCCACTCAGCACACAGGATTGAAAAAGGAAGTGAAGTTGGTGTTAAACCCTTCACATACTAGGGACACTGAGGGTCTAAATGGAACTGACTGATTAACAGGCTCTATGGAAGAAAACAACATGCAAACTAAAGGTAAGAGCACTGGAAAGAAAAAAAAAAAAAAATCGATCTGTTTCTTCTCTTTCTCAGACCTAGCAAGACCAGGGCTAAATACAATTTTTGAACAGATGGCTCTTTAGAACATTTTTTTAAGTGATATTTTAATTTTGCATTTTCACTTAAGCACCTGAAGCACCTGGAGAAGCGTTAATGCATCCACTGAGAAATCACAGGCAGAGGTACTCACTCGGGGCCACTTAACTACCAGAGTTGACCTATCTGTAGAACTTGCCACTCCAACTCTGTACAGCTTACTATTAAAATTTCCAGATTCCAGATCCCAGTCAACAGAAATACAAACCACTCAATATCCGATCCATTTCAGCAAGAGTTATGTTGGAGTGATGAAACTTGCAGTCCTTCAGAAATCTCCAAAATTGGAGTTTAGTCATGAGGAAGGTGTTATCAAGAGAATGATCACAGCCTAAGCCACTGTAGAAGGTGTAAACTCTTCTCAGTTCTGTAATATGCCTCAACACAGCAAATTTTACCTAAATAAAACAGGGTATGGTTTCAGCATCGTCTCACAGCAAGTAGAGATCAGTTTGTATTGATCCTGTAACTGGGCATATAATGCCAATCAATATGCTTTTGATCTTCTGAGTTCCAAGAGCAAATCCCTGGTTAAGCGTTCATGAGAGCATTACTCAACTGTAGTTATAATACATATTTTTTGGTGACTGAAAAAATAAATTAGTCTCTGTCAGCAGATAAACCTCACAGTAGCTAAGGGCAGTTGCCGGATGCCCTTCCAGAAAATGTTAACATTTTTTGTCTTCTAGTGAAAGCTCAGGAAGAGGCAATACTGTCTATTCATTGGTTTTTGTTTTCTGTTTTCATGGCCTTCAGGTTTTCAAATAATTCTGTAATGGTAAGAGTTCCTTTAATACAAATAAACTAGAAATGAAATAGTATGACACACACTGCGAGGGAAAATTGAAAAGATCAAACAGTAGACTCTTACTTGTTTCAGTTCTTCATGTCTCTCTTCCTCTGGCAACAAGTCAAGCAGTGAACATATATCCAACTCAATATTTGATCCCAGAACAGAAGTATTTTCTGAGCCATTAAAGCAAATAAAATAAATTAGAACACACTAAAACGAAGATAAATATGTACACACACACAGAGAAAATAAAACGTATTATTCCTTCTTCTTTTACTGACTTCAAACTGAGAATAGACTCCTTTATAATGAGTAGACTTAATAATCAACAGCATAACAGTGGAAGAGTAATTTTGTCAAATTCAACCCCTAGCTAAAAGGAAATATAGATATTACATATGTTATGAAACTTTCAGACAACAGTGTTCCAAAAGCATTACAAGATGTGTCACTCAACGCAAAGTGTCATGTACAGGAAACGAGAAGCATGAGACCAAAAGTCATTAGTTATTAAGATAACTCCTATCTTTATTAAAGTTTTTTGAAGAAATATGTGCAGCTCTTGAGTAAGTATGAACAGCTTCACATACTTACTCTACTTTACTTCACAGAAAAAAGGAACAACAAAGCGTGAACTGAGTAGAATTTGAATTTGTTTTAGGCTGCTTACTAGTGCCAAAATGACTTCCTGTGCAAATGGCATTCAGCTCTTCTGCATTCATTGCATCCACTTGAAAAGCAGGATAGTCTATTATATGATCATCTATGAACTCTCCTTCATAAACATAACCTTTCTTGAAGACAAACTTGCCCTATGGACAGATTTGATTCATTTCAATATAAATATTAATCAAAGATCAGACAAAAAATATCACTAATGCTCTAAATCAAATTTTCTGTTAATAATCTTGGTGAAAATGCAATATAAGAGATAAAATAGTGCAAAAATCATTTTTTCTACTCTCTTAAAAATTACTTTGTCATCTATTAAAGTACACTGCTGGGATGAAGAATTGCCTATATATGTTTGATTTTGAAAAGTATTTTGAGGAAAAAACAATACCCCCCCAAATAGAAAGACTTGTTTAGAATCTTTATTTTGCACATGTGGCACTCTGCTCACAGGGCTTTTTAAAACAGTCTGTTAATGCACAAGGACAGCTTGAAATCCATTAGCTCGTAGTGTAAGAGTGAAAGTACTGACCAGCCACTGCAAAAATCAAGATGCACCTACTGCACTGAAAATCTCCACAGTAAGAAGTAGTTCTTCATATGCACAACACACATCTAACCAGAGAGTCAAATCCGCGGCCTGGCAAGGTCCTTGGAAGGACTCCTACTGCTTTCAGTGCACTCTGCCCTTTATGTTGGGATTCCACCCACAATGTGGATTTGGATTGAATATAGTTTTCCATACAAAAATCTAGAGATCCACTATACAAAGCAGAATAGCCTCCCCTCTGGTGGTATCTGTAGTTTTGTCTTACTATGTGTCAATACTCACCTTGCCATGCTTCTTATTACAAACCCATTCACCATCGTACACTGCTCCACCGGCATATACGAACTTCCCATGTCCATGTCGTTCCCCATTTACAAAATCACCTATGTATTCATTCCTTAAAGGATACTGAGATACAGGCTTTCTCTTCAAAAACCATATGTGGGTGCCATATCCATGCTGAAAAAAATTTGTATGTTTAAAAAAAAAAAAGTCTCCAGAAGAGCTAGAATTGCTACAGATCCAGACTTTTAAAAAGGAGAACCACCAAGGCATCTTTAAGAGTCACTGTTGGAAAATCTCTCCAATAAAAGCACCCAGTTGACAGCTGCAGTACTTCAAACCATCCACAGAACTATATTCTACAAAAGTGCATGGGATAACCATGCAGATACATCAACACATACTTGCACAAGCTCTACCAACAGGACTCCTGAAGATATCCTTCCTGCCTCAACCCTTTTGACTGTAATGCTCAACAGTCAGGTGAGGAACACCATGACAGACAGAGCACCACAGTGTTCCAGAAGCTGGACTCCTTGACAATTTTATGCAGAGTGAAAAGACAGGGAAAGTAGCTTGCGTTCTTTTTACAGAAGAAATGGAAGGAACAGAAATTGCTAGAAACCTTCTCCTTCCATCATAAAACTTTTACAAGAGGCAACAGTGTGTTCTAATATTTTACAGGTGACGCAGAAGCAAATTGCCACATATACGCACTGCTGAAGTCATATCTCAAGTTAAGTGTAGTCACAAACATTTAACTTTTAAAACTTTTTTTAATTAAAAAGTTTTATATTTTCCATGAGAATATATTCCATGAGACTCAACATGAGAATCAACAGCCTACTTCTGCTATGTCAATTGGAAAAAAAAAAAAAAAAAAAAAAAATAGCTCCTTTGATATTGTACAAAACTTCCTATCTAGTTTTACTAGAGTAACAGACAGATGCTGAACTAAAGAGGTTGCTGAGGAAGATATTAATACCTGTATGCCATATTCCCACTGTCCCATATACTCTTGATTATCTGTCAACCATCTCATTCTTCCTTTTCCATGACGTACATTTTTCTCCCACTGACCTTCATAGATATTTCCAGATTTATAGCTGCAAGACGACAATAAAAGTTACTGACTCATTCATATGAAATTTTTAGTAGATCTTAGGAAAGCAAGGTTTATGCAAAACCTCATTGCTAGTAAAGTTAACATTTATTAATGCTAAATATTAACATTACTTTGAAAGTTGGCTCACTGTTACATGGATATAAAGGTTTGATTGTACCCAGTTTACCACCTATTTTTAACTTACAAATCACTGTAAAAATATTAAGCAGCTCTTTTTTTTCCAAAGAGTCTTTGCCATAGCTAATCAAAATATTCTTTTATATGTAATACCACATATAATTCATCTATTCATGAAAGCAGCTCTGTCTCTTCAAATCAGTCAAGTTTATTTGTTTTTAAATGTTGATTTGTGGTTTACCAAAGCTCATTCTGGATTTTGTCTTTAGCCATTCTTTTGTGGGAATGATCACTAGAAATATACCAACATAAAAATGTAAGTTATAGAGAAGATCTATTTTATTAAGTCTTTGTACATTTATTCCACTGCAGAAAGTACACACTACCATGAAATGGTAGCATTTGCATCCACATTAAACAATAGGAGGAACTATAAGATAATACATGTAAAATTTAAAAAAAATATGAAGATAAGAATGAGTGCTATTATGTTTACCATCTCATTCCCCATCCTTCTTTGACATTATTTACCCAGTCGCCTGAATACCAAGAGGTGTGTTCCTGATCATAATAAACGGTACCCTGAAACAAATAGTATAGTCAATTTAAATACCTATTCATCTACATTAATAAAACACCACATACAAATTATGACACATGTAATTACATTCTTTCTTATAGTAATTTTGAGACACTGTACTGAAAGCAACTGAAGCGATAAATTAAAAAAGCAACCTCTTTTGATGAGTATTACTTAAGACCTTAAGAAAGACCAAGTGTTCAAAAAAAATTATATTACACTATGTCAAAGTCTACATGTTTTTCAAACCACTTGGAAATACTTTCAGAGAGCTAACTTTGTCAACTTAATCACAGTAGTCACTCTGAGATAGATCAGTTTTCTGACTCATTCAGTATTCAACTACCAACAGAAGGTCTACAGCGTTAATTCTTCTGTCTTTCTCTATCTGATAGCTTCCTCTCAGAACAAGCTGGTCAGACCATTGCACTGATGACCATCCACAGCAGCCTGTGTGATTTTACTGTCTCCTTAGTGACACAGAACAACAGAAAAATGTGATTGGGTTTTCTTCACATGCTGAGCATTGGTCTTCAAAATGTTGGGCCCAGAAGAGTGTCCCAATCTGAGTGCACGAGATGGAGCCAGATAAAAGCAAAAGCACTACTTGTCTTTACAAAGTTGGAACTAGACGTTACTTACACTAGATAAGGCAGTCTTAATTGTAATTATCATACTTGGTCTTCTTAACACATTTGTGATGTAGGATCACTTTGTCATTACTGGAAAGCTAATTGTTTTCCCACTGTTATGTAGCTACTGATGCAGTCATCAGCTTTGACTTTGTCATCATCTACTCAGAGCAGTATGAAGTACAAACCACATATCAGGCCAATTACTCCTTTAGGATTCCATTCACCCCTTCTACTACAAACAAGATCCCACCCCAACTGTTTTAATTAGCATTCACGACTTCAGAGAAGATCCTTAGGAAAAAAATAATCTCTACATAGCACAAGACCATGAGACAACACAAAACATTTCTGCAAAATCTTTGCACAAGAGTGCCTGCTGGTCTAGAAGGTAGAGACTCAAGACCATGCTCCCATGTGGTGTTCTCACTCACCTTTCCATGTCTTTTGCCTTTATACCAGTAGCCAATGTAAGAAACAGGACGAGTACCGCTCCTGAAAAATCCAAATCCATGCCTAACTCCATTTTCAATTGCTCCTTCATAAATGCTGCCATCATTCCATGTATAACGACCATTAAACATCTGCACGTTCTTAACAAACGTTCCCTAGAAGATTAAATTACAACATATAAAAAACTAAGACTGGCTCTTCTCCAAGTATCTGGGAGAAGTCAGGCTTGTGATTGAAGTCACTGCCATAGTTCTGCAGTTGCCACCCATACTGTACCAATTACTGCAGCTTATCTACTCTCCTTGAATTTGCACATCTAATTGCCTATAATTCTGTTCAGTTAAAAGTTAAATTGCACTTTACCTCATACTTCACTCCATCAGCCCACGTGTAAGTCCCATGTCCATGCATAAACCCTTGAGAAAACATGCCCTTCAAAACGAAGAGAATGGCATTATTTGCAAACTTATTCTTAACCACAACTGAAGCCTACAGTGACTGTAAGATTTCAAAATAATGACATATTATCCCTCCAGCTACTAGTTTCAAATGATTTATTGCCAGCAACCAAGAGAGCTTTCAATGCTCACACATTGGGTGCTCAACCTTCACCTACATTAAAAGAAATAGCCTGCCTGTTCTAGAGAAAGAACTTGATCCACTACTACTATTTTTTTTTTGATTTATAGGCTCACCTTATATGTATTTCCGCCCTCAAAATATGCAAATCCTTCACCCTCATACAATCCACGGACTTTTTCACCTTCATAGCTACAATGAAAACAAACTAAAGGTGAAGATTTCAAGTCACTGCCAGTAGACCTAAATCACAACAGACATAAAGTAAATGACCTTTGATTTACCATGATCTACACACAGGCCAGTTCTTGTATCTTGTGTAGAAAAATGAGCAACAACAAAATTTACAACTATTTGCACCTTCCTTGTAGTAGTTCATGCAATTGTTGTGTTGCCTCAGACAAAAAATCACATCAGTAGCATTTACTCACAACCAGACTACCTGGTCAGCACGTGAAACATATATAGTCCCCTTGAACTACCAAAGGATTTAGTTAACACTGCTATTCACCTGCTTCCTCATTTTAGGGATATGAGCAGCTCTAAACATTGTAAGGCATCAACAACTGAACACTACATGACACAGATGCATTTTCTTCACCATCTGTATACTTAGACAAAACATGATAGGTGAAAGGGCTAAACAGCTGAGGCTTTTGGCAGGTTGAGATCACTAGCAACACTCTAGAATGCAAGAACACAACAGAATTCCACATTTATCAGTTGCGTAAAGTGTCACGTCTACTAGGTCTGAATAACCTGATTCACTGCTTTGAGTCAAGAGTCTTTGCATGTGTTTGTATGACACTGGGTACACCATACAATTAAATAAGAATTCTTAATTTTACTAGTGTATTTGTAAGAAGCATACCTTTTCACAATAACTTGAAGAATAGGCTCCTCATAGTATTGAGGAACATCTTGGACTGGAGGTTCCTCTACCTCTGCTGGTTCTTTATCTGGTATCACTGGATTTGCCTGTGTTTCTTCCACTTCATTCACTAAGGTCTGCAAATCTGACAGCTTTGTTGAACTACCCTCAGCTGTAGTATCTTGTGCAGGAATAGGAGAACGTACAGGTTTTTCTGCCTTCTTGCCATCTTTCTTTTTATCCTTTGCCATAACTACTGAATTGTCTCAACATGTATTATGTAAAGATTTTTCCCCCTATAATGTTTGATAAAAAAAAAACAGAAAACACAAAATACCTAACTACACGAAAAATCACCGTTTTCCTTAGTTATTATACATGCATGTACGTTAAGTTATTTCTGTACTAACAACTCCTCAAAGCAGTGGTTTCAGCTCATGGTGGGCAGGCTGCAGGGCGAACAGGAAGCCATGCCTGGGAATTACCTTTAAGAAGTTAATCAGAACCACTAAGACAGGAGTGTTCCCAGTAGTAGACTTACTTTTGCTACATGGCAGTCTCCATCTTTACTAGATGGAGATTTTTAGCTGTCTAACCCTGAGGAAGATTTGAAAACCGTTTCTCAAAGTCATGTTTGGTGAGTTACTTGATGAAAGCTACAGCTGCACTAGTATTACTGACTGCACTTGCTTTCCAAGTTAGGAGCTGCAAATTGAACCACAACACAGAGTAACCACTAGAGCTTATAAAGCTCTTTAGCCAGTTAAGAACTGCTTGAAGGTTACAGGACTGCTTGACCAGCTGTAATCATATTTCCCGCTCATTTCACAGACCGACCATCGCTGCTTTCTAACACAAGAATCAGACTCCGTGCTGCCGTGGCGCGGGCCGGCAGGGACAGCCTCAAGCAACCGCCATGTTCTCACCACCGCGCGGTTCCAGCCAGCGCCCCGCTCCACTCGGGCAGTACCAGATCAGCAGCGCGAAGGGCCCGAGCGGCAGGGCGAGGGACGGCGAGGGCAGCGCGGGGCCGACAGCGCGGGGCCGGCCGCCCTTCCCGCCC